GTAGCGCCTTCAGAAAATAAATTTTTCCATACATGAGGAGGAAGACCCACTGAACCTTCATCAGCAGTGAATTCTAAAACTCCTGAATGGGTGGTCCCCTGTTTCTCTTTATCAGCACCTTTAACGCCCGAAGAGCCTTCCTGATGAACTAACAACAACTGAAAGTACATGGGTCCCTTATCAAAGGCACCTTGATCAGACAATTCTGTGAAGCAAGAAAGAGGTAGTTTGATCTTATCTCCACTACCTTGATAAGGTACAGCTTCTAGTAAACGATAAAACACAATTCCTCTCCCAGCAAGTAGGTTTTCTTGCATATGTTGGTCAGCCTGAATTGAGCAAGGTCAATGAAGGGAATCATACATGTTAGAATATCTAAATCATATCCACTATTCTATCATAAATGTGTTTAAGAATCTTCTATGATCCCTTAGGAATGGTTTCCATATTTCATTATATTTCATGATTTGTTTCCTTGTTTAATTAGGATAAAGAGTATACATAGGGTTAGTGCTTTGTCTTTTGCAACACATCATATCACATCCTTCACACCAATATCGATATATTTTTCTTATTCTGAGTATTCCATTCCTCTCTTTTTTTATTCCTTCCCTACCTAAAACCCTACTTCAACAACACATTTATCATTTTCACATTAAAATCCTAGACAAAAGAAAGTAATTGCAGTCACAAATGTTGCATTGGAAGATACTGTAAACATTTGAATACATGGATTCACAAGTTTATCTTCTACAGTAGTGGGATTAAATAACAAAAGACTAAGTTTAAATATCATTTATGTAACAAAATGAAAACGAAAAAATTCACACCAGCTGGTTGGCAATTTTACAAGTGATTGTTGGTTTATTACAGATAAGAAACCATTCATAGACCTGTTTTTGATTAGCTTAATCTTTTTGAGTGATGGTTATTTGACATGGTATTGAATACTCTTTGACCAACTTATCAAGAGTTCAATACTTGATACACTGCCCATTGTTCTAGTCAAATTATATTTAGGCACAAGATAAGTTGAGCATATGACTGGTTTCAACCTAAAAGTGTTGTTGCTTGAAGGGTCATGATGCACCCTAGCACCCTAGCTGACTGAATTGGATCGGGTTTTCTATAATTTATTTCATAGTTTAGGGCTTTTTAATAATTGTTAATTATTTCCCTTTTTGTTATTTTTAGATTATGTTTGAGTGTGCGTTGATTGTGCATTATCTCCTTTGATTGCGCATGATTATAGTTATTTAATTTTTTGTTATTTTATTTTGCCTATTTAAGGCTTGGAAAACCCTATTATTATTCGGTTGTTTTTGGTTAAATAAAATTAAGAAAAGAGAAATAGTATTTTCTCGCAATTCTTGTTTCGTTCTTCTTTCTGTTTAACCAATTGGTTACTGCTTTGGCATTATTTGGTATCAGAGCTCTGGTTGTCACATAAATAGCTGAACAGAACAATAGCAGTCGAGGTCGTGGAAGACGAGGTTGAGGTGACGACAGTGGTAGAGGACGTGGTAACACCCTTAACGACGACGACGAACAACCACACATCGACGTGTGAAACAGCATAATTGTAGCAATGGCTGCTACAATGGCAGAACAAGGTAGACGAATTCAGGAGCTCGAACAACTGTTTGCCCAAATACAGTTGGACGAGTCAGATGAAGGATGAGAATCTGAAAGATCATTTCATGAGAAGGAAAGGAGATTCTGGAACTGGAACCAAGAGCGACGAGGACGAAGTCAACCTGAAAATCAATCATTTTTTGCTAATATTGGGGTGAAGATTAAGATCCCGGAATTCAAGGGACTACTCATCCTATGAGTTTATAGACGGGTTACACACCGTCGAAAGGGTCTTTGACATCAGAGACTTGACAGAAGACCAGAAGGTCTCGATCTCAGATGAATTTGATGAAGAGCAAGATGATGAGAATCCTATTATGGATGCTCCAGTTTATGATGAGTTCCCTATTTATGATAAGTATGATTAGGAGCAAAACAATGAGAATCCAGAGGTGGAAGAAATCTCTTATAGTGATTTCGGTGGAAAGTCAGTTATTAGAAATTCTAATATCTCTGACAAAGATGAAGTTCTACCCAAATATATCATGCAAAATGATCCTTCATTTAAGAAGTCTTTAATTTACAAGCAGTATTTTGAATTTAGTATTATGAATTTGGGGACAACGAGCATCACAACCTCACGATCCATGGAGATAAAGATTTAGCTTTTGGTAAAAGTTTAATTGGAGATCATCAAACAGTTTAATTCGAAGACTCGCAATATTTCTAGTTCCCAAGCAATTTAATTCGAATGCAGATGTAGGGAATTTGATAATATTGTACCAGAAGAGTTGTCACCTGGATTACCACCTGAAGAAGTTAATATCAATGAAGATGAAGCAGATTCGAGTGCGAATCTTTTCCTAGCAGGGGACGATGATGTACCCGAGCTGACTGACTTGGATTGAATTTTTCTATAATTTATTTCATAGTTTAGGGCTCTTCAATAATTGTTAATTAGTTTCCTTTTTTTATTGTTTCCTTTTTTTATTTTTAGATTATGTTTGAGTGTGCATTGATTGTGCGTTATCTCCTATGAGTAAACATGATTATAGTTATTTACTTTTTTGTTATTTTATTTCAAATATTTTATTTCGCGTATTTAAGGCTTTGAGAACCTGTTGTTATTCAGTTTTTTTGGTTAAATGAATTTAAGAAAAGAGAAATAATATTTTCTCGCAATTCATTATTCTTTGTGTTTAGTCAATTGGTTACTAGAGATGAAGCCAAGCCTAGACCAACGCCTAAGCATAAGCTTTTGTGTGAAATAGTTGCTTGTGTAAAGGGTAGAAAAGTGACTCACCATAAAAAAGATTACAAAAGTAGCAAATCAGGGAACATAAAATCAATGGTGATGCAGTATATAGACATCAAAAACATAAAGAAGGGATCTTTAACTTCCCCAGCCCAAGAAAACAAACTGAAGACATAAAAGATCGGTTTTTCAGTGAGATAATCATACTATAACATGTATGATCCTTGGAAAAGGCAGAAAGAATAAATTTGAATAGCAAACCAACCAAAAAGAAAAAGATGAAAATCTGTAAGGAACAATCTAAAGTTGGTCAATCTCTTATTTACAACAAAATATACGAGGAAATCAATCTCAAAGACGCAATGATCCTATAACAAGATTACCCTTCAGAAATCACGGCGTAGTAGTTAAAAATATTATATTGTTTACCAAAAAAAAAAAAAAAGAAACGAAAAAAGAAACGAAAAGGAAGAAGAAGAAAACGAAACAACAAAAAGAATGGATAGTAAGGAAAAGAGTAAAAAGGGGGTACCTTGAGTTGGGCTTCGGCTGCATCGATACGACGAGATCTTTGAGTAGCTTCGATGGCTTCCCTTTGCTTCCGAGCCTCTTCTTTGGCCTTCCTTTCCTTCTGCAGTTTCAATCTCGCTTTCTCCTTCCTCTCCCTCTGCTCTTTCTCTATCTTCTCTCTCGCTCTTCTCAGTTCAAAATCCATCTCTCTCTCTCTCTCTCGCTCGCGTTCGTGTTGATTAAGAAAACGAGTTGCGATTTGCTAATGAAATTCGAATACGCGAGTTGTCTCCTTATATTGTTATTGGTCACTCGTTTGTTTGGTTAGTTCTCCTATTCCACAAAGGTCTGGGCCTTTCTTACGGGCCCACGAGCCCAATGGTGGTTTCCATGTAGCCCTCTCTTTCTTTTTACTCGAGAAATAAAAAATTGACTTTGCTTCCGTTTCGTGACCAAAGAAACAAATTTGCGTTTAGTATCCTTGAGCTCGTTTTTCATATTAAGAAAAAATATGATTTAATTTCGTACCGTCACATTTATTAATAAATTTAGTTCACTTAAAAATTTGAAGACAAGTTATTTCAAAGGGTTTGTTTTTTCCGATGTTACTTTAGATAACTTTATCTAATGTTCATCAAAATGACGTCGTTTTGGGACGGAAATCATGGTATTTTTGTAATTTTAATTTATTTCAGGGTTATAATAGTCTTTGTCACTCTAATTTTTTAATTTTTCAACCCCAAAACGACGTCGTTTCGATGAACATTAGATAAAATTATCTAAAGTAACATCGGAAACTTTTTTCCCTACTTCAAATTGGTATATCTATAGTATAATTGTCAGCAGGTCTGGAGAAAACCCATGGCGAAGGACCATCATCAATAGGTTAAGCTACTCCAAATACACCAAGTGAGTCCGACACCACAAAGGACCTATGAACCCAATGACTTAAAGTTTTGGGTTAAGACGTGGGTTCGGACTCACTTGGTGTATTTGGAGTAGTTTAGTCTATTGGTGGGGTCCCCCGCTGGACCCGCCTGACAATGGTATCAGAGTCGGGTTGTGCTTGAGCTAGCCTGGTAAATGGCTAGGAGGCGGGTTGAGTATTTGGGCCCTGAGGTACTTGGTTGAGGAGGAACATATCAATGTTGGGTTGCACACTTGAGGAGGAGATTGTTGAGATATTCAACTATGATGAGTCCCAGGTTAATAATGGACTAAGTGAAGAGTATATAAGTGGAATGACTCATGAACTCAATGCCTTAAAGTTTTGGGTTAAGATGTGGTGTCAGAATCACTTGGTGTATTTGGCCTAGCTTAACCCATTGGTAACAGTCCCCCGCCACGGTCTTCTCCTTGAACCCGCATGACAATAGTTATACATAATTAGATTTAGAAAAAATAAATAAAGTATGCTATGACATAAAATAATTCTTATCTCATGCAATTCAAAAGGTAAGTTGAGAAATATTAAACCCTTACATTTAATAGACACCGAGTCCCAATTGATATTCCTGTGTATATGGAATCCACATAAAGTCATAATCACAAAACAAGAAGCAAATACATGGAATCAAAATGAAGATATAAAGAAATAAAAAAGAGAAGAAAACAAGGAGGTGGTGATTAAGGAAAAGATGGCGAGGCATGTGAGTAGTTGTCATGGAGAAGGGCTCGGGGATTGATAGTATGGTGCAACAGTGTATATTGTCTGAACGATGGTAAGAGCAAAAAGGAAGATGGCAGCAACAAGAGACACAATAGCCCAAGGGTTCCTGAAGTATGTTTGAATGAGATTGGCACGCCACTTGTTCCATGGTTTCTTGCAATAGTTGCTCATATTCATCAGCACCGCATCCAAGAATCCATGTTTATCCACAGTTATATCCTTAGTCAGTGAATTGAACAATTTTGCAACAGCTTTATCGCTCCCAAGAGCGTTGATTAGTATCCCTCTCCTGTTCAGAATTGCAGCGTCCGTTTCATTGTCGATGATGGTGTCAATGAAGGATATGTACGAGGTAATCTCATTCCCTGCTCCAACATGGAGACGCTCGAAGGCAATGAGGTTCAAGAACATGTACTCTGTGGCGTCGTCAACCACCATGGTTGGGAGCCTAAGCACCCCATGATCGAAGGAAACATCTCTGAGGCTGTGTGTTTTGCTTCTCTTGAACCGAATTCCAGCCTCGTGGAGCTCTATTGCTGAGCGAATGATCTCGTCCCCACGCTCCTCGCTATACCATGTTGGTTGCATTGGACGTCCTTCCTCGATTAGGCTTTTTCTGTACACATCCAATACGTGCACGCATTTCCCCATGCTTCGGTTTTCTTTGCTGCTTGCGTTGAAGAACTCGAGGATTAGCAAGTTCAACGACTCATCATCTTCCTGTCATGTAATATAAAATCATTTCGAATTGTTAATTAATTAGTTAGTATTTCATATCATGGCATGAGAGTTTATAAAACAAAGTGGTTTAGAGCTCGATCTACGTCTCCCCATTCTTTTAATAAAAATATCGAGATAAAATAGTTGATTTTGTACATCGATCACGCTTCAATCTGAAAAATGAAAAATCTCTCTTCACTAGGTGCTAAACGAATCAAGGGCCTTTCAGGACTTTTGGCACGACGACTCGTGAAAATCTGAGTTTACATGTCTAAAATTAGTTGTCGGAACCATGCTTAAACTTATATAAAAACTTGCTTAATAAAAAGGCCTCAGACTTTAATTCAAAAACTCGGCCTTAGAGACTCTCAGACTCTCATGATATACTAATTTTTTTTATTTTATATTTTTTATACTATTCATAATAGCCATCTCTCTCTCCTCAATCCATTTCACCCCATTTTATTGGTTAAATAAACTTTTTGAATGATTTTGTTCTATATTATGCTCTTTGGATATACATTGAATTTGTGAATCTTTTGTGAAATTATCAGTGTTGTGGATCATATATTTTGTTTGAATAAATTTTTGTTGTTTTTTTTTTTTTAAACAGGCTAATAGGCTAAAACAGATTTAAATAAGCCAGGCCACACCGCCACAGACCAATAATTATATTCATAACAGGTAACAAGTTATGTCAGACTAACACATTTAAATACAGACTTAGCCTTTTAAGACCAAAATTCAGCTCGGTTCGGCCCATTAACATCCCTACTCTTGACGACCTTAAAGAACGTGCTTGAGATTTGATATAAATATGGGTTTAAAATTTCTAAAATTACTTTAGAAAATTTTATCTAATATTTATTAAAATACACACATAAAAGTGTGTGAGATTCATATTTATTTTTCTATCTCTTCTCATCACATGAGTCCACATGAATCTCACATATTTTTTATGAGTATTTTGATGAACATTAAATAAGGTTATCTAAAATAACTTTAGAAACTTTAAATCATATAAATATATTCATATATCTTCACTGGAAGGACATGCTAAGTTCATGCATGATAAGCAATCCCTATTCCCTAATATTAATTAAGGGAAAACTTTTTCTCATGTTGCATGAGAATTCAACTCTCATGTTAGTGACTCTTCGATTTGCGTGCAAAGCTTTTCTTTTCTTTTTCTTTTTTTAATAAATATGGGGCCCACCACTAGTTGAGTCACTACATGAGAATTGAATTCTCATGCAACATGAGAAAATCAAATCCCATTAATTAACTAGCCAAATTATATATTTGCTTACTTTTACATAACCGAATGATTTAGCAAGTCAGTTATAAGCATGTAAAAGAATAGTAATGGATGAATTAATGACTCCAAACCCCCCAAAATCGGACTTGGATATAAAAAAAGGTTTTATAAGAGTTATGTCTTAGGAAAAGTGATTTTGTAATGTTATAAAGATTCGTTTTGCGTGCCTTAATTTTTTATTTATTTTTTTGTTTTAAAAAGTGTGGACCCCACAAAATGTTGTGAGAGTAGGAAAGTTTGTTGTGTTATGTTAAAGGATAAAACGAAAACCCATAAAAAAAATGACAATTACCTGGGTTTTGTCAGTTTCAAACTTAATCAATGTATGAAGAACCTTCATGGGGAGCTGATTCTCAAGCATAAGCATGTCACGCTTGATATATGGCATGACATATAGTTTCCCATGTTCACCAAAGACAGGATCATTGTCAGCATAGCCTTCCGGAGTACAAGTTCTACAGCTCGCTCTTAAAATCTCCAACATGAAACAGCCATCAACAATCATAACTTGCAGGAACCTTCTTGTGTCCTGCGTCCAAGTTGAATCAAGTGGCTTGTACGAGTCTTTCAAATCTTGCACCACTTGATCCATGCGTAGGAACAGCGACTGCAGGGGCGCCGGCTTTTTGGACCTCTTGAGGAAATGGAGCAGAGCTCGGTGCTTGTGCTCTTCCATGGCCTCCAAATGCACCTCGCCATGATGGTAAGGACCAAACGACACCGCTTGGGGTTTGTAGGCCTTATCATTCAGCTCGGTGACACGCGAGGGTACCTTGTAAATGGAATGCCTCTTCCACTGTTCCTTCTCAGATAGTGAAGGACCATCGCTCTTCAGTTCTTCATTGATTTGGACCACCCAATTCGTTTCATCCATCTATGCCAATTAGATTAGCTACTATAGAGACATGACATGACATTCTAGGCTATGCAGTTTGAATCTTATACTAGTCTTAATTATGTGCATGAAAGGTAATGGTGAAGTATCAACAGTCATAAGGATATAAATGTCTAATGTGAATCTTCTTTTTCACAAAATTAACATTCCTTCCTTGCAAACTTCTTGTTCGAATAAAAAAATATTTTTAAAAACATTATTATGCACACCCAAAATTAATAAATTGCAGCCAAAAGAAAGGGAGATGTTAATTTGATAAAAAGAAGATTCCAATTAGGCATTCGCTTATGAAAAAAAAATCAGTAAGTGCCAGTTATGAAGGAAGTCATGCATGGAAGAAGATGTTATTTTCATAGTTTTTTGTTATTTTCAGAGTTCTATGAATAGGAAGTCAACCATTTTTTAAAATTAGTCAACGCTAAGGCACTTGTTGGTTCTAAATTGGCTTCGTTATTGAGGATATCAGTGCCTAATTGGAATCTTCTTTTTAACAAAATTAACATTCCAAGGAGTATTTTTAAAAATATTATTATGCACAACCAAAATTAATAAATTGCAGCGAAAAGAAAGGGAGATGTTAATTTTGTTAAAAAGAATATTCCACTTAGGCATTGATATTTGATATACTTATGACAGCTTATGAATGTTAATATTTTACAATTGCTTTTCACGCACATAATTAAGACTAGTATAAGATTCAAAATGTTTATCAACGTTCATAAGTTGTCATAATAGCAATGCCGAATTGGAAACTTCTTTTTAACAAAATTAAAATTCCTTCCTTGCTAACTTAATTTTTCTTGGTACGTAGCTTCTCACCCTTACTATTCTTGTATGAAGAAAAGAATATGTACTCCTGTCACCAGTCATTTAAAACTCAATTATTAAGGATTGGAGAATTATATATTATGGGAATGGATCCTCTCACGTGCAGAAGTAGTCATGTGGTCATATTATTTGATCACAACTACTCATTGAAAAATTATACATTTTTTTCTCTTTTATCTCATTATCAATGAGTAGTTGTGATCAAATAATATGATCACTTCTCCACATGAGAAGATCCATTCTCATATATTATTGAACGCATATTTAAACCAACATGAAAATGCGATAAGGTGATTTAAAAATAAAAGAAATAAAAAGAATATTTTAGAAAGCAAAGAGTAACTACATTTTAGAGATATGTAAAGGATAAGGAACTCAATGTTTATAGTATCACATGGTGCCAAAAAAATTAATTTATTACTTTTTTAATAAAAAATTACGAATAAGTTGTCGTTTTGCAAAAAATTACGAATCTATAGCACCCAAACACGCCCACATGGGGCGTGTTCTGATGGAGAGAGACACGCCCATGTGGGGCGTGAGCTTGTGAAAGAAACACGCCCAAGGTAGGGCGTGTGTGGCAGGATAGAGACACGCCAACGATAGGGCGTGAGCTATGAAGCAAACACGGCAAAGGAAGGGTGTGTTCCAGGAGAGAGACACGCCCACGATAGGGCGTGTTATCCGTGGTGTATATAAATCCGTTTTTCACTTTTTTACCTCATTTCCACCCTCCCATCCTCTCTCTAAACCTCCTCCTCCTCCTTCTCTCTAAATTTCTTTTGGAGGATTTTGCGCAGCGAAGCTCTGTCTCTCTCTCATGTAAGTCCCTATTTATTGTTTTTTTTATTAACAGCAATTAATATATGATAGTTATTAGCGACTTAGATAATTGTTAGGGGGTTAGAAAAATATTTGTGACTTTATTTAATTGTTAGGGGGTTAGAAAAATATTTGTGACTTTATTTAATTGTTAGGGGGGTTAGAAAAATATTAGTGACCTATGTAAGATTGTGATGTGACTTATATATTATATGGACTTACAAATTAATTAGTTACTTCTAATTTGGTATATGTTGGTTTTATGACTTATTTACACACTTAGAAATTAGTTTGTCACAATTAATTTTTTTTTATGAATGACACTTGCAAACATATTGACCTTTCAATTAACCACATTATAATTAGGGTTAAAGACGAATGAATAACGTATGCAATATTAATTTAAATTGAATTTGAATTAATATTTGTATTGAAATATATTGATAGAATAATGTAATGTTAAATGAATTAATTGTCAATGATGTTAATGTAATTGAAATTAATATAACAATTGAAGTTATTAGTTAAATGCTATTTAATTAAGTGCAATTAAATTTTATTTAGTGTAAATTAATATAATATCAATACTAATTTGGGTACATCTTTTTCATCTGTAGTAGTTTCTATTATGGCCCATTCGTCTTCATCAGAGTCCTCGCGCTCTGGATCCGATGGTGATCTTGAGCCATCCGATCCTTGTACGCATGTACTTCCTGGTCCATATAGGTGGGAGGTACTCCGTAAGAGGACACAGCGCAGTCACGTATCACAAGTTGTGTGGAACGAGGATACGGTTAGGGGGTTAAAGACGAGGCGAGGGAAACTTCAGGGGGGACCCCATCACGATGATATACCAGATGTTGTCGCTGACTATTTGACACAGGCTGGGTTCATACACGTGGCACGTATGAGTCATGTTCAGGTATGTAATGTTCAAATAGCTTAATTAAATTACCGTATGTGGACTTTGTATAATTGTTGTTTTTCCTTCAGATCGATACCCCCTTGATATCTGCTTTGGTTGAGCGTTGGAGACCGGAGACACACACATTTCATATGACGCAGGGAGAGATGACCGTTACATTACAGGACGTGGCTGGTATACTTGGTTTGCCTACTGACGGGCAGGCAGTTACCGGATCTACAGCGTTGGATTGGATTGCTATGTGTGAGGAGGTTTTTGGGACTGCCCCAGTTACGGGCACAGACATTCACGGAGGCGATCTACGTATATCTTACTTAGACAAGATATACGCTGATTGGTTTACAGTAGCACACAATCCAGAGGAGGTGAGGCGTTACACCAAGGCACACATTTTGCGGCTATTAGGCTCATGGTTAGTGTGTGACAGATCAGGTGGGAGCAAAATTGCTTGTCGTTACGTTCCACTGCTTGCAGGGGACTTTACCGACATTGGCAGATACAGTTGGGGGTTTGCGGTTCTCGCCCATCTCTTTAGACATTTATGTGTGGCAACAAACCCGCGGACTGTAAATCTGGGTGGTTGTCACGTATTACTGCAGATATGGGCTTGGATTAGATTCCCCCCCATTGCACCACCTATCATGCAGCCTACCCACCTGGAGTGGCATTTTGGTCACAGGTATATTTTATTAACTCATATTGACTAATTTATTACATGTTCATTTGTTGAATGAGTATGATAATGGTTTACACATTCCATTACAGGTTTAATTCCCTACCTCCCTTTAAGCCACATGAGCAGTCTTGGTATCGGGCAAACCTTGACACGCTTTATAGAGACGAGGTTTGTGATATCTATTATTAATTGTTTTTTATTTATTTACATATTATAGCCTTCAATTTGTCATTTCTAAATCGTTGATTAAAATTGCTTGCAACATGTCGCAGACAAAACACATGAAATGCATGGGGTGGCTGCCATAGGGGATTATTTTCAACAGCCGATAATATGCTAACATGCCGGTCTGAAATTAGACATATATTATCCGCTTGAGTGACGTGCTGACGAAGATTGGCAAGGAAGTATGACCAAGCCTCCAATGTCTCACCCTCAACAACGGCAAATGCAAGTGGCACACATTCATTATTACCATCTTGAGCTGTGGCAATCAATAACTTTCCCTTATATTTCCCGTATAGATGAGTGCCATCAATTTGTATCATTGGTTTGCAAAATTTAAATGCCTCGCAACATTGTCTGAAAGTCCAGAAACAACGAACAAATACACGTTTTCCAGAAACCAACTGCCCCCCAACAAAACAATCCTTTGTTTGAATATTGTAAAAAGAACCTGGTGAAAAACGAAGCATATATTCACACCAGTTGGGTAAAAATGCATAGGACTCCTCCCAATCACCATATAACATTGCCATTGCTTTCTGCTTCGCATACCATGCTTTTCGATATGAAACTTTGAATCCATATGAATGCGTTATCCTCTCCTGAACGAGCGAAATGGCCACTGAAGGTTCCTTTTTTATCATCTCTGAATCACAAAAGCTGAATATAAACATTAACAGAACAACAGGTATATCAACTGCAATTTTAATCAGCTTTTTAATTTGAAATTACGTACCTACTACAAGTGCTGCAATAACGTCAGAATCAAGTTGTCGATGATCTTGAGAAATATGGTCATTCAAGCAATTGTGCTTCCCACCCCATTTCGTCACCTTCCAATTTTCACCATACGTTGGTTTAATTACCCTGACCCTCCACGGGCAACCTTGGACGTGTGCACAACATTTAATGCTTAATTTTGTGGGAGTGCTCTCAACCACAATTGCTTCTTGATGCTCCTTCATGAGGTAGCGCTTGATTGCCATCTGAGCCTCTTTTTTGGATGTAAATTGTTGGTTAACAAACAACTTTTCTCCTAATTGCCAAGGACCCTGGATTGAACCCGAACTCTGCGTCCATGATTGTGCCTCACTCGGATAATCCCAATCAATATATGTGTAATGTGGAATTTCTGACCAAAAAGGATCAACAGGTGCATCGCCTACATGTACTACATAATAATAATAATAGAATTGAATTATTTTCTTAATCAAAAATTGCAACAACCAAACTGTCAGTATATTAATTGATAGCATACCTTCAGGATGTTCTGGTACTTGACTCGATGTTGTGCCATGATGTACAACGATACGAGACTCCCCCAAATCATGCACTGGTTGAAGTTCAGTACCAGACCTGCCACATTCTTCGTCATTGTCCGATGCACTCGCATCCTCTAAAAGAAGACGATCCTCTATTGCAATATTTTCCTCATCATCTTCGTCATACTCCTCATCCATAACCCAAGTAGGGTCATGTTCATCTTCCTCAGACATGTTAACAGCAGGAACAACAGGAACAACATATGATGATGCATTAAGAGGAGAAGTAGACCTAACTGACCTCATTGGTATGACAACTTCCTCCGCGGTTGTAGTATCCACATACAACTCTAAGAAATCCTTTCTACACTGGTTCAAGAACTCTTCCATTACCATATCGATGTCTTCGTCATCGACCACTTGCAAGCTAATGTATTGTTCACGTTGCCATAACCTTGCCGTGACAAGAGTGATCAATTGGTTGTCTTGAAGACATAATTTTTGACGTATTTTTTGATGCAGCTCAGCAACCGTTGAGTTTCGTTTAATACGTGATGGCCTTTTCTCCCCTACAAAAATAACACCACGACGACCTTCTTCTTTCCTACCGTTAAAATATAGAACGGCACGAATAGTATCAGAATTCGCACTCATTTTTAAAAACAAAATTTTAAAAGATAAAACAAAATATGAGTAAACAAGTGCAAACTATCAGAGAGTTTAGCATAACAATGACAGAATTGTGAAGAGTGTGTAGGGGGGTGGGTGTTTAAATAGCAGTCAGTTTAGTCACTCACGCCCATATTTGGGCGTGTCAACCCACTGAACACGCCTTATCTTAGGCGTGACCACACACGCCCTACGTAGGGCGTGTTTCCTTCACAAGCTCACGCCCCATATGGGCGTGTCTCTCTCCATCAGAACACGCCTCATGTGGGCGTGTTTGGGTGCTATAGATTCGTAATTTTCTGCAAAACGACAACTTATTCGTAATTTTTTATTAAAAAAGTATTAAATTAATTTTTTTGCCATCACATGGTTCAACTCTGACAAAGTACTTTTGATTCTATTGCTATGCTCTTGGGGGGAAAAGATACGAGGAGTATGCCATTTTATTATTTCACCTTTTTAAAAAAAAAGAAATTTACGTGCTTGGAAGAATTTTTGAGAAAAAAAAAATTGATAACACAATTTTTTTTTCTATTTACTGTTAGATCAAAATCTCAAGAGGAGAGACAAAAGATGAATGTAATTAATTGAGATTTTGAATTAATTGTATTGGACATAAATCAAGTGGAGTAGGTATCAGAAAAAGGTAAGCATAATATCTCAAGAGGGGAGACAAAGGGTGAATAATGGTATTTGACATAAACAGGTAGAGTAGACATGAAAAATAAATAAATATAATATCTTATCTCAAACTAATATATTGCAAAGAAATACCTCATTGTATTTTTGCTCAATTTCTCATTAAATTTTTAGTGGAAACTAATTCATAACATGATTTTCCAAGTAATCTATTTGTAGTAAAAGTAGTTTTTTTTTTTTTTCAAATTCTGTGATAAAAGATTGCATATTTTTCGAATAAGAATGCTATTAAATGTTCTTGAAAGAAAAATTCATTGGCAATTATTAAAAAATATCCCTGTGTTCAGATAAAGTATATATAGGGTTTAAACCAGAAATGAAATTTATTTAAAATGATTAAAATAAAATAACTTGTTTGAATTCTTTACAAAAGAAAATCAAATGTCCCCGAGGATTTTTATCGAGTAATTTTAGATTAAAAAAATGAAACATTGAAAATTCCACCAAAAAAGATGTAATTTGCGGAAATAGTGTAACATCTCGGCGCTGACGAGGGCGGGGAGTGATTGCCGGTGCAAAAGGGCATGGACAAGGAGCGGATTTCCAGCGGGGGTTACATGAGCGAATGAATTGAATCGACACCCGAAAGAGAGGGATTCCAAAGACTGTGCAGTTATGAGACTGCACAGTTTGGGGTAGCTTAAAAGAATTAATTGGAGTAATCTATACTAACAAGATGCATGACCTTCCTGGGAAGTTTTTCCAGGAAGTGTGAGAGTGAGGAAAAAACGCACTGATATCGTTAGAGATAGGTTATTCTATCTACTTTTTTTTCTGCCTACTTTTGCCTATCACTTTCCAACACCTTTAGATCATAATCTTAATTAACATTTATGTTTCTCTTTTCTTTTTAGTTTTTGATCTAACGATGTTGGAGAAGGATAGACAAAGATAGGTAGAAATTTTTTTTGTAAAATTCCTTTCTTTTCATTGTGGTTTATTGTCGTTCATCATGAAAATAGTAACAACACCCACGAGTCCACGACTTTTTGGCCATTTTGGAAATTAAAATTAGAGATGCATCAATTTGGTTATAAAACCCCAACTTCATTCATGTACAAAAGTACAAATCCTTTATGTGCTTCTGAAAGTTATTGAAAACATGATATAATATGGCAGACTACATTCATCTAACTGAAAGTAGATTTATGAGAGTTTGATTCTCGTAGGAAGTGTCATCCTCGCAATCCTCATTAGGTGATGAAAGTGTCATAAGAGCAACAACTATAGATCTCATACTTGGGCGTAGTAGTGGATTATCTCCTGTACAAGCTCTTCCAAGTTGGGCAATCTACAATTCAAACAATCACCATATTTTAAGTTCTATCAAATGTGAAAATCTAACCCCAAACCCACAAAAGAAAACTAGTAACAACTCTGCTTATGGACTATGTTAATTTCAAAAGGCTATTCCACATATGCAAAAGTTTGCTTTTTTATTTTTATTTTTTTGTTGGGGAGTGGGGGATTTAGAAAGAGTAAAGATAACATTCAAATTATTTTCAGAGAAATGCTTGCACCTTAAGAACTGAATCAATTGGATAGTTTTCTTCAAGCCTAGGATCTACCAGTTTGCGAAGACCATCTAAAGGATCACTCTGATTAAGAGCTTCTTCAAACTGCAATATAAAACAAGTCAAGGTAACTTTACTTATGGAGACTGTTGACTGGAATTAAAATGTACATGTACATTTGTGAACTTAGAGTGCTTTGTTTGTAAATATGGTCATGAAAAGGGAAATCTAGATTCTAGACTCACCAAAGTTACAAGACCCTTTGATTCAGCAACGGATTCACCTGTCTTCAGAACAGCATTTTTTGCAGATATAAGTTCATAAAGAACAACTCCAAAAGCATATACATCAATTTTTGGAGAAATGACACCATATTGAGCATATCTGCAGAAAAACCAGGAAAAGTTCAGGTTCACTTGATTATATGTTCTCAAAATTTATTTTGATTTTACTAATTAATCATAAAAAATGCTATTTTGTTAAGCTGGTGCTTCACTGAAAGATTGCCAGCTTGTAACAACATAAGAGTACACATACTTTCCTATAAGGGTGACATTCGTATCATTTAATTAATACAACAACAAAACAAATCATACTCTGGTGGCATGTATCCAAATGTTCCCACAAGACGAGTGTGAAGTGTGGAGCCTCCAACTTCAATAAGTTTGGTCAAACCAAAATCTGCAACCTGAATTAAAAAAGCTTACATAGTTCAGTTAATCTCAAAGAAGAAATGGAATATCAGGATTTGGAGTGTGGATCATGAAGATTGGTAACCTTTCCACGGAAGTTTTTGTCTATTAATATATTTGCAGACTTTACATCACGATGGATATACACAGGCACAGTGTGCTCCTGAATATATTCAAGGCCTCTCGCTGAATCTAGAGCAATTTGTACTCGGGTAGACCATGTTAATGGGTCTCTACCTGGAATCATGTTATCATCATTGTTAGTTGTTTGACAATAATGTAATATCACAGGAGAAGACCATTGCTGTATACTTATCTCACCTGTACCATGCAAATATTGGCCTAAGTTTCCATTGTCAATATATTCATATACAAGGAAAAGAGATCCCTCCACGCAATATCCAATCAAGCGCACCTATGATTATCATAAAAGGTAGGTAGATTTAGAACTTACTTTGAATTGTTTATGCAAAAATAACCCCATTGACACAATAATACACACAATTAAATAAAAATTGGAACTATTTGATATTTTCAAAATTCAAAAAGCATTTGGTACTTTTTCATTAAGTAACTATAGAATAGTAGTAAATGCTATTTTTTATTTCTTAACATGCTTTATGTTGTTTGAAGAAAGTTTTACCAGATTCAAGTGATGAACGTGTGTTAAGACCTTCAACTCACAGAGAAATTCTGTTGATGCTTGTACGTCCATCTTCTTAATTGCTGTTTTCTGTATAAAATGAATTATTTGAGACAGGTTTTTCATGAATTGAGTGTAAAAAGTAAATAGTCAACCTGAAGTGGCATAAAAAGCAGAAACTTGCCTATCCACCCTTAAGAACATTATCAAACCGGGGAAGAATCTGTTTATAAATTTTTTTTACAAATTACACTAAATCTGACCGTTCATACATTCTCGATTGAAGTACGACCGGTCAGACACAGTGTAATTTGTAAGAATTTGAAAACAAAAAATTTGTAAATATAACCTTTCCCTATCAAATATGTAAAAACAATGCTACATATATTTTTCTGTTCAATGAAACTACGTATACTCATGTGGCTCCTTACCTCGCCTCTCAGTTCTGCATAATAGACGACTCCAAATCCACCTTGACCAATTTTATTATCCAAGCTAAAGTTATTTGTAGCCTTGGCTAGTTCTTGATACGAGAACTCCATTGATTTTACCACCATAATCCCTGTAAGGCCAGCAGCACTAGCAGAACCAGGCCCAGTGGATCCTGAAGTTTCATAGTCTGCACTACTAGAGGCTTTACACCCCGAAGAAAAAGAAAAATCAGCAAGTGCCATCACGTCAATTTAGCTATTGCATTTCAAATTTTAGGAATATGAAAATATACCAGTACCATCTTGAGTTGAAAGCGCCATAGAATATTCTGTAGGCAATTTAGCTTTCTCTCCATCCTTTTTCTGGAAGTATCTAACATATATACAAATTACTAATAATAGAAGCCCGCATATTCCTGCTATAGGTACTCCAACAGCAATACCCCAATTTAGACCTGCTTATATAGAAGCAAATTTAAGCTCCATTCTCATCTTTACGTGAACATTATGCTGAAAATAGTCATCATATAGCCAACTCAATGAAGTTAGAGGGCCAAACCTGTTCTGCAAGAGGGAAAAGAAAATGCAAGTTAAAAAGATAGAACAACAATGTTCAGTTCTATGTGCATTCAGCATGAAAGGCGAGACTATTAAAGTTACCCACCTGGGATACAAGGGAACATAGACTCCATTTTTATCTGGGAAGTTAAAAGAGAGATAAAACATTAGGCAAATGCATAAATACCAAATACTTTGAAGGAAACTAAATGGGTAACTTAACCTTCAATATATTTGAATGAACTCTAGCTGATATGTACAACATAATTTGATCAGAACAGCAAAACATGATGGGAAAACGAACATACCTCTTCCTGGAATGAAAACAATCCCACTCTCTTTGCTGAAATTGACACCAGGATTGTAATTCTGGAGCAACTCTGCTTCAAGATTAGTTTCGTTTGCAATATTTTGCATATTATCCCCAGGCCTGAGCGGATATGTAATAAACAGCCCATAATCCTCCGAAATTTGGGTGTTCCCACAAGAACAATTGACAGTGACATTAAGCTTGGCATTAAGGGTTATATCATTTGGGTCATAGCTGTTGAACCTTTGCAAAAGCTCAACTGTTGTAAGATTGGCATAATACATTTTGGCAATCAAATCATAGGTGTCTCCTGCAGCATATGAGTACTCAAACACATGCCCCAGAAATTCACCATCTATACAGTCACATGGGAATGGAATATTGAGTCTCTCAAGGGATAGCGCTTCACCATTGAATATTTTGTCTTTATTGTAGCTGGTTATAACATCAGAATTTGACACAATATTTGATTGCATAAAGCGCGTTATATTGTTTTTGAGTGAAACTGTAGGCATGACATAGTAGGAAGCTAAAGCTAAATCACACCCCTTCATACACTTGGATTCCACATTGAAACAAACATACTCCAGCAACAGAAACAACAACAGTAAACCATTTTCGAGTTTCATTGTATCACGAAGAGCAAACCAAAATGGATGCAGAGAGTAACACAGCAAAAAAAGAAACCCAAATCAGAAAACTGGATTTCTAGGACTCTCTATATCCGGGCATCACAAGTTTTATCATATATAATCATATTCATTTTTTTTTTCTCTTGAAACTAATGTCACACTTCCTCTCCTAATTAATAGACTATAGAATTTTATATGGAAAATGACTCTCAAACATAAAAATATAGTGATGAACTCTTGATTGTAAGTGAATGTATCATAAACTGAAAATTCATATGCACACGCTTTTGCTGTTTTAGGAAAAAACACCTGATAGGTTTATACAGCTAATAGTTTGAACGAGAATGTGGAGGGAACACAGTAACAGTTGGCTAGAATAATTGAAGTTGACTTGCATTCATTTATTTATTTATTTTGGAGATATTATAATCGATTTATTGTTTCAAGACTAGTCCAATTCGAATTAAAGTTTCAAACACTTCAAAAAATGATACCGCGGAGGATTAAATTCATGAGCTGTCATCGTTTTTAATGTCATTTATTTATTTATGGGAAAAGTATTTATCATTTTAAATGACATAATACTCTATCCTTTTAAGAGAGAGACAGACACAGAAAAAAATATTTAAATTTTAAATTAAAAAAACCCACCCACTTTCTCTCTCTCATTGTTGAGATATATAGTCCCACATTGGTTGTATGTGCAACTAATGTGAAGTTTATAAGGTCTTGGGCACTCCCACCCTTTGAGCTAGCTTTTGGGGTGATGTATTTCCAAGGTTCTTTACACCCATGATTTCTATTTTCTGTGTCTTTCTCTCTTAAAATGACATAACTTATGTCATTTAAAATGACAAACAACAAACCATTTATTTATATACTTACTAGGTAGCAACTTGCTTGTCATTTATAGAGGTCATATTTGGTGTACTTTGAATAATTTTTTTGGCATGTAGGGACACAAAACGACGAGGGAATCTTGTTGATTGCACATTGTTGGCTTTTTTTAATCCTTTGCACCCGAAATGCCAATCCTGTCGGCAACTTCGCAACCACTTCGAATTGTGTCCTCTCATGATTCTAACAAGCTACAAACAATTTTCCATTTTAAATTTTGAGGCATGCTTGTGCAGATATGCTAGTGATATGGGGATATCATATTTCGTTGACTTAATTCTCATAAAAAAACAAAAAGGAATCTACGTGATAACACCAGTTGCATATAGTTGAACATTTCAGTTTAATTTGATTTTTAATTTTAAGTAACATAATAAGAGACAAGAGGTAGCTTTGCTTGGTGTCATCCACGCCTCAACAAGATAAGAAGATGACAAATAATAAATTAATTGATTGACATGTTTTTATTGCAACTAATATAAATTTTTTGATCTATATAATTTTAGAGTAAACATATGTTTTTGTCCTTCAAAGATATAAACGTTATCACTTTAGTTATTAAAATATTTTTGTCATTAATTTAGTCATCCATAATTGAAAGTGTCATCATTTTAGTCTTGTGTTGCCTTCAATTTGGTGATTTGTGATATTATAACATTTGGATTAATTATCTTGTTTCATCTGTATCTTATTTAGTTCATTATTAGCCCATCTAGGAGGAAAGTGCTGGTGTTAAGAAAGTTTAAACAAATGGGCACTTCTACCTAAAACTTCAAAAGGATGGAATGGCTAGTTGATGTACTCTTTGATGAGCTAATTTTCTTGACAAAATGAGTGCACAAAGGATATTTTTGACCAAATGAGTGTATAAAGTTTTTTTGTCTATGAGGTTAACGTAACTTTTTATATATAATTGTAGGAAAATAATCTTTTCAAGCGAGTAAAAAGGTGTATACACCCTTAAATTATTGAGTTTGTTAACATTATGATTAGGGTGTTAACAGACCGAGCCGAGCTTTGATCTTAAAAGGTTAAGCCTGTATTTAAGGCCAAGCCTGTTACCTGTCATGAATATAATTTCAGCCTGTGGCCTGTCTTATTTACAAAAAATAAAAGTCTGTTTTAACCTGTTAGCCTGTTTAAAAAAATAAGACAACAAAAATTTATTCAAACAAAATATACAATCAAGAGCACTAATAATTCCATAAATATTCATAAATTTAATGTATATCAAAATAGCATAATATAAAATAAAATCATTCAAAAAGTCAGTTTAATTAATAAAATGAGATGAAATGAATTGACGAAAGAGAGAGGGCTATCACAAGTAGTATAAAAAATATAAAAAAATAAAATTAATATATTAAGCAAGCCTGAGAGGCTCTAAGGCCGAGCTTTTGAATTGGAGCCTAAGACCTTTTTACTAAACGAGCTTTTATACAAGTCCAAGTCTGGATCCAACCATCAATTTTAGACATGTAAGCTCAGGCCTTTACGAGCCGAGTCAAAGGCCCCTAGCTCGTTTAGCACCCTGATGCATTTTAAAATAAAAAATGCGTATATCATGACTTGCCCACTTTAAAGACCGGGTCTTTTCCATAATTGGAAATATTGTATCTTACATTGAGAAATCATAATTGACTGAAATTTTGTTTGATTATACATTATATTCTTATATTAATACTTGAAAAAAATTTAAAGATTATGATTTATTCTAGTACATTTGTTTTATATTATATTATTAGCATTAACATTTAAAGAAATGAATTTATGTATTGACTAGTAATTATAACCTTTTTTTATACATTTATGAGAATTCAACACATAACTAATACAAACTATCCAAAGCCCTCACCATTAGATAAATCCTAATGACCTAATAATTATAACTTTTGAATAATAATTGTTGGATCCAACAATAACCATTAATTTGTTCTTTTTACCATTTTTGCCAAATAATTGTTATATCTAATACTCACAAACATAGGACAAAGTATATAATTTGGAACAAGGTGGGTTTGAATTTCTGTTTTTAAAAATAGGTTTTTGATTTTCAGAAGAAAAAACATATTTGATAAGTCCTCTTTTATAAAAATAATTTTAAAAATTATAACTCGTTTTTAGTTTTTAGAATCAAATTTAGAGAATATATCTAAGTTATTTTTATTTTTAACTTTTAAAACAAAAAAGAATAGAGAAAAATACTTATTTCATTAATTATTTTACAAAATATTTTTAATAACAAACAAAAACATAATACAAGAGACCCTATATTTTTAAAAAAATTCAAATAAGTTCTTATTCACTAACAGTCGTTCGGATGTAGTCAATCATTTTTTTGGTAACAAATTTCTCAAAATTGAACATATTTATTGTGTTTGAGATAAGAATAATTAACAAGCGATAGGTTGAAAGAGCTGCGCAATTACAATTAATGCGGCCTTTATTTAAAAAAATTAAAAAGAACATGTGATGCCGAATCAAATAGCCATGGCGAATTAATGCATTTTCTCTTGTGCTGACACGTGGTAGTACCGTCTCACCTCTCCAGTTAAATATAAAAATCACAATTTTAATTGTGCTAGCACAAATATTGTACCTCAGTCCTTAATGATTTGAAGGGAGTTGTGTAGTTAATATTACCAATGTAAATGAATGATTAAGTTTATTAATTTTAGTTTTATTTTTTTATTTATTAATTTAAGAAATGCATAAATATGAAAAATGTTTGTTCATCTAATGGATAAACCGTCGAAGTTTTGTAACCTTTTTTTGTCACATTTTTCAAAATTGATGGCAAACAAAGACAATTATGACCAATTTTGATATTTCTAAATTTGGATAAAAAATGTAATGAGATTATAAAATTGTGCCTTCTAAATAACCGATCAGTAATTCGATTCAACATCTTATATTCATCTATTTCCATTGATATTAACTAATAATTATTAAGAATGGTGCATAAATTTATCCAAGAAATAGGCGTACATTATTAATAAGCATGACATTAAAGAAACAAAAAAACAAAAAACACGCGTGTATACACTCAAGCATGATTTTTATTTTTATTTTTGATATAATGGTAACACTAGGGTTTAAACTTATAACCTCATATAAAGTTACAAAATGCAAACTACTGAAACCCTTTTTTTCATAGGTTTTTCACCCTCCCTTTTCTAATGTTCTTTATTTAATAAATTGAATTCAATTTCACATAATACATGCTGAATACTCATTGATAATTATTAAAAAAAGGAGTAGCCGTTATTTATTGTGTTTTTTATTGACCTTGCAAATTAAAGGTAGTCTTTTTCATTGATTTTTTTAAAAAAATTCATGCTTTTTTAATATGCACTTGGTTCGAAGATAGTACACAAGGAAAATTATAAAGCATAACTTTTTTTTGTTAGTTAAGTCTCTAGCCTATGAGAAAATTGATGTTGAATGAGATTAGATAGGTTTAACTTAAGCTCATATGCTTCGTTCATACAAGAGTTCAATAAGACAGAAAGTCTATTTTCTTAAAGTGACATCATAGAATCAATATACAGTTGGCATTTGGCATTTCTGAAACGTAAGAGGTTAGGTTGAATTAGAATTAATAGAGGGAGGCATCAAATCACAATTTAATAAACCGTGTGGGATGAAAGTAGTCTCGTGATCTCATCTCAACACACGATCTTTTATTTTGTCATTTTCTTTTTAATGACTCTCATTAATTTTTTTGGCATGTACGCGCTTATTTTTCCTTCATCGATTTTGGATGTTTTTAATAAGGGAAAAGTGTGTATAATTTTAAAGGATGTAAAGTTGTGTCATTTTAGGAGAGAGAAAGAGATAGATAAAGGAGGAGAGAGAGTTGACAAAAAAAATAAAGATGTGGGCCCCACTTCTTTGTGAGAGTGAAAGGATGTAAGTTGTGTAATTTTAAATGATAGACATTTTTCCCTTTTAATAACAAGGAGAATTATATTCATAAACCATTTTTTTATAAATTTATAAATTATATTAATATTTTACCGTAAAATATAGTATAATTTATAAATAATAAATTGGAAAAGTGTTTATTTTTTTAAATGACACAACTTATATTCTTTCAC